CCACTTCCCTGACTCACGTTGAGAAAGATGTGAGACCGAAAAGGCTCATCATCTTCACCACCAAAGGCCGGTTCCAAGCATGCGAGGTCAAAGTGCTGACACATGGCCTGGGCGCGATCCTGGCATCGGGCTGGAGAAGCACGGGGTTTTTGCAAACCCTAAACCCTAAACAATAAACCCTAAACCCGCTCTCCCAGGGATGGGTCCTCACCGTCTTCGGTGATGAAGTTGAATTTGGCGATTGTCACCTAATTAAGGCGATGGACCCAAAGAGAAGCTTGTGATTCCAGCACCTGGTCGGCCCTGGAAGACAAGAGCAAGAAGAGAGCTTGCAATGCCAGCAGCGAGTCTGTCATATGAGTCATATGTCATATGTCATAGACGAGGACACGATGGGCACAAATGAGATAGCCAGGCAGCCGAGTACATGATTCAGCATGCTCTTCCACTCTTTGAAGTCAAGATGCCGGGTCGAGGAAAGTACTCGCGGCAGTGAAGAAGCCGTGAAGCAGGAAAGGTGCGTTCACGAAGAAAGCCACACCCAGCCTCTCCGGGTAGTGGTCCTGCAGGAGAGAATGTTTAGGGCTTAGGGCTTCAGGCTCAGGGTTGAGGGTGTAGGTTCTTGGGTTTGTGGCCTCTGGTCAGAACATTCATGTTCCCCCTCCCCATCGTCGTTTCTTTTAACGCCTCCCCTTGTTTGGTCATATTGGCCTGCTTTACCATGCACCCTAAACCCTAAACCCTAAACAACCCGAAACCCTAAACCCTAACCCTAAAACCTCAACCCTAAACCCTAAACCCTAAACCCTGATGCTTCGTGGGTGCGAACGATGTGGATTCTGAGTCGTGCGACGTTTCGACTCAGCCTTGGCGGAAGCTGGATTGCCTCCCCCCCTTCCATTAGTCCTTCTTCTCCCTCCCGCCAGGCCAGGCAACCCAATCCCACTAAACCGCTGGGCTGCTGCTGCTGCCATTTGGCTTTCTGCGCCAGGCATGGCGAAGAGTTTAGGGTTTAGGGTTTAGGGTTTGGGGTTTGGGGTTTAGGGTTTAGGGTTTGGGGTCTGGGGTTTAGGGTTTAGGGTTTAGGGTTGAGGGGGACTTTAGGGGAGCTGAGAGGGCTGATGGCCTGCATGACACCGAGCAGGTCGCGGACAATGCTGCCAGTCAGGAGGCTCCCCACGCCCAAACCGTCGAAGTCGACCAGTAGGACGAACTTCCTTCCCACCGGATCCTCAGACGGCCATGTTACCACTACCATATAGGTAGCTTTCTGAGTTAGGGTCCTCAATATAAGGGTGCCGCCCTAAGATAAGGGGACCCCAAGAAGGGACCCTAATTTAGAGACCTACCCCATGTGCCATATATACTGAGTCTACTGGACTTTACTTACCACGCATGCCCATGCTGCTCTACTCCGAGGGTCGTCGGGAGGAAGGGCGAGCTTCCCAGTTCTGGCCTGCTTCTCCACGCACGCGATTGCCTGTTCATAAGCAGAACAAGCTTGTGATTCATACAGGCGCTCAAGGTGTAAGGCCCCCCAAACAACAAAAAAAAAGCAAACAAACACAAAGACTCTGCCAGCACTGGAATACTTGGGGGGTGCAGGCGAGGTGCCCGCTCCACACAGTAGACCAAATACTTCACTCCCCTAGGCTCGGCATTGAAGCCGGCTCCGCCGGGCTTGAAGTACAGCGCGGGCCGCCCTGTCTTGTCCTAGGATGGCCCTGAAAACCCTCTGAAAAACATTCCGGAATACGGGGGACTTCCGAAATTCGGGGGTACCTTCTTGGGGTCCTTATAAGGGAGTCTATACTAGGGGCCCCTGATTTTCGTAACACCCCCCATGTGATCCTCTTCAGCCCCAGCAAGGGAGAATATAAAATGTCCCAAGGGCCTACCTAGTGTCGTAGCCCCGCACATAGATGTTGCCGAGCTGACTCTCAGCGGCCAGCTCTTCTGCGCTGGAGCCGTTGAGGACACGACTGTATCCAAACTCCTGGGGCAAGCAGTGCCACGGGGGCCCCCAAAAAACCTCATAGTGGTTAGTAGGGAATGAGGCAATGAGGGTCCTATATATATATATATATACATCTTTATATGTATATTTATAGTTATATTTATATTGATATGTATATTTATATTTATATTTATATTTATATTTATATTTGTATTTATATTTGTATTTATATTTATATTCATGTTTATTTCTATTTCTATTTCTATTTCTACTTCTGTTTCTATTTATATTTATATTTATATTCATATTTATATTTATATTTATATATATATATATTTATTTATTTATTTGTTTATTTATTTATTTACTTATTTATTTATATTTATATTTATATTTATGTTTACGTACCCTCATTCCCTACTAAGAACCAGCCAGAAGGAGAAAGAATCTGAAATGGCCGGGCATGCCGCGAGTCATTCTGGGGTTTACGAAAATCAAGGCACGCCTAATCTAGTCCCCCCCATACAGTAGGATTCCCGTCTAATAAGGGCGCCACAACCAGGCACCCCATCATATCTTCGGAAATAGTCCCACCAAAAAAAGGTAGGCTTCCCTTCTACAATCAAGGCCCACAATAAGGTACCCCAAAAGGAGAAACCCGACCATGCATCATTGCCAAGAGACCTTGCGCCACTGGGCAGTCTTTCGGATCAGCACCTCTGCCTTGTCGAGATCCCAGCTCCTGTCAAGCTTGAACCCGGGATTAGTCGCCCACACTCAGACACGCCTGGCGAGGCAGACTCGGGATTAGGGCTTAGGGCTTAGGGCTTAGGGGCTTAGGGCTTAGGGCTTAGGGCTTAGGGCTTAGGGCTTAGGGCTTAGGGCTTAGGGCTTAGGGCTTAGGGCTTAGGGCTTAGGGCTTAGGGTTTAAGTTTAGGGTTTAGGGTTTTCTTTGCACCCGCATAGCTGGACGAACCACTCCGCAATGATTCCAGGTACGAGCACACCGACCCCAACAACCCACCAACCACATGGCTCCAAAGCAATGAGCACTTCATCCTGCAACTACGAAACCTACTACCTACTACTTACCTGCCTACAACAGCACTGCTACCTACTACCGACTAGCTACTACCTACTGCCCCTACCCCTACCGACGCACCACAAAAAGCGCTGTGCGTACGAAGCTACCGCACATTACCGCACCGTGCGTCGCTTGCCGAGGCGGCCTCGCGTTAGGGATAAAATCACAGTGTTTCCTTTAGTATGGGCCCTTGAAAGTGGACCCCTTATACAGCCCCTAATCGACCCTATAGAACCCAGGGCCCATACATCAGAACCCTCTCAAGGAGGTAAGGGAGCATATTAATGGGCCCTTGGAAACCCCGCAAAATCCGACTGTCTTAGGGTTTAGGGCTTCGACTCTTGCACTCGCACCAGGCAAGGATTCCGTCCGGGTTCTCGTCTGCTTTAAGGGTTGTTAGGGTTTTATTTTAGGGTTTAGAGTTGTTGTTTTTAGGGTTTAGAGTTGTTGTTGTTTTTTGGATTTTGAGTTGTTGTTGTATTTAGGGTTTAGAGTTGTTGGTTTTTAGGGTTTAGAGTTGTTGTTTTTAAGGCTTAAGGTGGAGCAAGCCTTGCGCGAAGGTACCGGACGAGTGCCAAGGGGTCATCGTAGAGGCCCGCATCGTCCTCAGAGGCATCCTCGCACGACTCAGATGGATTCGCTGGTGTATGGGCAGGACATGCGTGCACTGTGTACGATAGATTGTGCACTGTGTACGATAGATTGTACATGGGATGTTCCCCCTTATACTAACAGTCCTTAATAGGGATTGTAGTAGGGGTACTATAATCCCCGTTAAGGACTGTTAGTATAAGGGGAACACCCCAAGATTGGAATACTAAGCAAGTGGTCGTGCTCTTGTAAGGAGCTGGAACCTGGAACCATTTGGAACCAGCTTGAAACCTGGACCTGGGGGGGTTCTATTCTTAAAAGGGCAGATCAGTTGGAGAACCCCTATCTTTTGCATCCAGGCCTGTGAGACTGCCGGGCTCTGTGAAGGATTCTCTGGAACCCTAAGCCCTAAAGACTAAATCTGGAACCCTAAAACCCTACAACCCTACAACCCTAAAACCCTAAAACCCTAAAACCCTAAAACCCTAAAACCCTAAAACCCTAAAACCCTAAAACCCTAAAACCCTAAAACCCTAAAACCCTAAAACCCTAAAACCCTAAAACCCTAAAACCCTAAAACCCTAAAACCCTAAAACCCTAAAACCCTAAAACCCTAAAACCCTAAAACCCTAAACCCTAAACCCTAAACCCTTTTTTGCAACCCTAAACCCTAAACCCAAAACCCTAAACCCTAAACCCCAGCACAGAAGGCCTTGCACGCCAGCCGCCGGGCCAGCTCAGAGACTGCGATCTTCTGCGGCTCCTTGGCTCGGTGCCCTCTGCCGGGCAACAAGATGGCTGGCTCTCAAAATTCGGGTTTAGGGTTTAGGTTTAGGGTTCAGGGTTTCGGGTTCAGGGTTCAGGGTTTAGGGTTTGGGGTTGAGGGCTTCTTTTTAGGGTTTAGGGTTTCCAGACACTTGTACTCGGACTAAGGCTCCGGGAGGGCCGCGATCACCGGGCTGGCTGCCACACCCCCATTCGGCATCCGCACGCCCCTTTGGCTTCCGGATCCCTACTGACCGCGCCCTGAACCCTCTGCTGTCTGTTGCGGACCCTTATATAACCCCGCTCAGACTGATAGGCCGGGAAAAGATACGACGCGACTCCGTACAACAGCACTACGAGTGCCATCCCCGAGGAGGGATGCTATGGCCTTGCAGTCGGCAAGTAAGGAGGCTGAGTGAAGCCACTCTGGGTCCTAGGTGTTTTCCTAAGGGTGCTGTAGGCACGGCATCCACTACTTCGCTATCTGACTGCGGACGCTCGCGTGTCGTGGCTGCGGAGACAGGACATACACGCCCAGCAGGGCCGCAACATCGCATGTGCGGAACAACGCAGGCACCCCTTACCCAAGGCTGAGCGCTGCGCTGCACGCCCTCGTTCCCACCTTGTGGCCCGTGGACGGTTGAGAACATCAAGGCATATCAAGACCATCAGGCCATGGCTCCAAGGCTTGTCTAAGGCCATAGCTGTGCCAGCAACAGGCTCACTTGCGCGTGAGCTTTCGAGCGCCGCTTGGCCTCAATTCATCAGCTTGTAATACTGCTCTGCTGTCGTCCGTGCTCTGTTAGACAGCTATACTCATAAGATACACAACCAAATCGAAAACCTTGCGCGCCAAACTTAAAAGCCCCCCGGGTGCCTTCAATGCCATCTGGCGCTTCTGGTCCAATGCCCGTCGCCACTCAGCAAGGTATGATGCCTTTGCCCAAGGATGCTGGCACGGCCCCTAAACCCTAAACCCTAAACCCTAAACCCTAAACCCTAAACCCTAAACCCGGAGCCAATCGACGTCTACGCAGGTGCTGGGAGGCCGGCCGCCAGCCCAGCTCTCGAGCCGCCAAGCCACTGTCGTTCCAGAACACCTAAGGGTGGCTCAGTCAGGGAATTGGTTTAGGGTTTCAGGGCTTTAGGGCTTTAGGGCTTTAGGGTTTAGGGTTTAGGGTTTAAGGTTTAGGGTTTAGGGTTTAGGGTTTAGGGTTTAGGGTTTAGGGTTTAGGGTTTAGGGTTTAGGGTTTAGGGTTTAGGGTTTAGGGTTTAGGTTTAGGGGTTAGGGTTTAGGGTTTAGGGTTTTGGGTTTAGGGTTTAGGGTTTAGGGTTTAGGGTTTAGGGTTTAGGGTTTAGGGTTTAGGGTTTAGGGTTTAGGGTTTAGGGTTTAGGGTTTAGGGTTTGGGGTTTTACGGCCCCCTTTTTGAGGAAAGCCCCTGCAACTTCGGCCCACGCCCATCGCAGCGTGCGCACGCCGCTTTGCTCGCAGGACGTCGCGCCTCAAATCGAAAGAAGAGCAACCCAAGACTGCAACCGAATATCACCCGAACATCCCCAAACCCTAAACTGCCTAAACTTAGGGTTTAAGGCGTAGGGTTTAGGGTTTAGGGTAACCCCTACTCAGCTCTTTGTCACTCAGACGGCGGCCAAGCATTGAAAGATGGGCCCGGCCGGCCAGACATGGCCTTCCTCCTCGTTGCTGCAGGGCGGCACGCGCTTTGCTACTCCGAATCATTAGCACCTGGTTTAGGGTTTAGGGATTAGGGTTTAGGGTTTAGGCAAGTACCTAAAACACCAGGCTGAGATCGACGCCCCCAGCTCATCACTGCCTGGGGTTGGAGCCATGCAACGGCCGATTCTCAGGGGCACCCTAAACCTAAACCTAAACAGCCTAAACCCTAAATCCTAAATCCTAAACCCCTAAACCCTAATTCCCAAACCCTAAACCCTAAACCCTAAACCCCAAACCCTGAACCCTGAATCCACACGGCTCGAAGTGCAGCAGGCGCCTTGTCGATGGCGCCAACGCGGCGCCTCCTCCGTGCTCCTGCCTCAAGAAGATGAAAAAAAAGGTGCAGTTTAACCCCAAACCCGAAATCCTAAACCCTAAACCCTAAACCCTAAATCCTAAACCCTAACCCTAAACCGCCTAAACCCTAAACCCTAAACCCTTTTTTTAACGGCTAGGACTGCTGCACCCTAAACCCTAAACCCTAACCCTCAACCCTAAACCCCAAACCCCAAACCCCAAGCACATTGAAGTGTTGCACAGACCCAGGGGGCAGGCCCAGCCTTAGCAAGGCTCAGCCAGGAGGACGCAATGTTCTTCAGCTGGCCCGCTGCTCGGTCTCTGGTTTTCGGGAACTGGGCGAAGCGAGCAGAGATCGGCTTGGGGTTTAGGGGTTTAGGGGTTTGGGGTTTAGGGGTTTAGGGGTTTAGGGGTTTAGGGGTTTAGGGGTTTAGGGGTTTAGGGGGTTTAGGGGTTTAGGGGGTTTAGGGGTTTAGGGGTTTAGGGGTTTAGGGGTTTGGGGTTTAGGGGTTTAGGGGTTTAGGGTTTAGGGGTTTAGGGGTTTAGGGGTTTAGGGGTTTAGGGGTTTAGGGGTTTAGGGGTTTAGGGGTTTAGGGGTTTAGGGGTTAGGGCGGCTCATTGCACGCAGAGAGCTGCTAATGGGCTCTGTGGCAAAGAATGACATGCAAGTAAGCGAGGACAGAGGCAAGGAGTTGAGACAAGAACAGGGGGACAACACGCATGAAACCTTAAACCCTAAACCCTAAACCCCAAACCCTAAACCGAGCAGCTCCTCTAAGTGCAACTTTCTGGTGCTGCCCAAGGCACTAGGCTATCGATGACCTTCTGAACAGCGTTCTTTTTCTGTGTCCTGACTTCGGCCTGGGGGGCTCTTGGAGAGTGTTACAAAACTCTCAAACTGCGGTAGGCCTCTTGCACAAGCTCATGAGATGCAGGCCATATAATGGTCCAATGCTTGCGCCTTGGCGGCCTCAGCGCCTCGGTTGCGACTCGCACGAAGAGACAGCCCGAAGGAAGCTCACAGCCAAGCTCTCTTCAAACTAGGGGAATAAGGTCCCTGTTTAAGAGAACCAGAAGAGGGTTAAGAAAGGGGCTCCCTTTTAAGGGTCCCCCTTATCCTACCTAGGACAAACTGCATGGCTTTTGGTTGCACTCCCCTCGGACGCAGTGGTCTTCTGTTTGCATTGCCCCTCTCGGGTCTGACAAGGGATGCGGCGGTTGCGCTTCTCGCGCTCCTCCTTCAAGCCTCAGTCTCTTCCATGGCTCAGATCGCTCCGAGGAATGTAATGTCAGGGCTGCCACGCTGCTCGTACAGCTCCCGCTCCTGGCTCAGGGGCTTTCAGCCGCGAATTTTGGAACCCTGAGCCGGTTCTGGACCCCACGCCATGCTGGGAGCCTCCTCGAAACGCGCCTCTGCACTCTTCTCTGCTTCATTCGCCTGAGACGAACCGCAATTAGACCAAAGCTACGACCGAGCCATTTGCAATCAAACTTTTGCAGCACTTGTTGCATGAAGCACGCCGGCTTTGATCGAAATAGTGCTCGCTTTGGCGGCGCGGTGCCACTCAGCCCACGGCAGCATTCGCAAGTGCTGCTGCCTGAGCGGCTTGAAGGCCTCAGCCAAGCGACCCTCTCTTTTTGTACAGACCCCGGGTTCTTTCAAGGACCCCACAGCACACTGAATCTGTTTTTTGTAAAAAGGGTGGGTGAATCTCTGGTGCTCCCTGGTGTGGTTCTGCTGTGTTCTTGGGGCCCCGTCTCTCACGCCTTTGCCGCTCCTCCTTGCAGCGTGCCTCCCAAAGGTGCCGCTCCTGACGGATCACCCGAAACATCCCCTTTTTGGGCCCTTTTATTCGCTCAGTGACTTACTGAGAATCACTGCATAGCCTTCTGGAAGCGCTTCTCTGCCTCTTCCTCCGCCTACGAATGCAACATGGATCTCAAGACCTTGACCTCTGTGACAAGCAGCCGGACAGATGCTAGCAAAACCTGCTGAGCTGCATTCAAATACACCGTCCGCAGTGCCTGGGCAGCTGCCTCTGCATAGCCGACCGCAGAAACAACGCTGGTCGAAGTGTCGAGAGCACCTCAGCCAAAGAGGGCGTGCAGTGCGCAGACGGTCTCGGAAGAGCCTTCTTCCTATGCCTTGCACATGGCTTGCGTCTCCTGGTTTTGGGTCCCGAGTTAGGACCGGCGCGGGTCCGCTGCAGCCTGCACACGACATCTGTGGAATCTCGGGTTCTCGGGTCTTGTTCACTCATCTTGCGTACCGAATGCATCATGGAGGTGCCTGTCGAGCTCATCTTCCAGGCGGTTCTGGAAGCTCTGCTGCTCCTTGTGGGCGTTGCGCCAGTTCGACCCTAAGACCCTCAGCCCCTTCACGAGCTGAGCCTGGCTCTTGCCACGAATGCCTACGACCCCGACCCTCGACTCGCCATTTACGTCGCTGGTACTCAAGACATGTTGGCCAGCTGTACAGGATCCAGCCAGAGCATGCCGAGGCGAGGCGAAGCATCATGTCTCATGCCACGCAGACCTTCAGGGGTCCGTCACATCTCGTCTCGGCTCGTAGAGGACTGCGAGCCATCCGCAGTTCGGAACCTGGAAGTACTTCATGGCCGTTCGCGGCGTCCCCGGATGCACTCCGCTCCAAGAACGCGGCTTCTGTTCCTCAGCTGGCTTCGAGACCACGCAATGAACAACCAACAACTGCTCAAAGTTAGACTGCCGCACTGTGTCGTGCGAAACGCTGTGGAACAATGCAAAAGCCGCACGGCCAAGCTTTCTGGGAAGACTCCTTGCTGTCACGCTCAAAAGGCTCCATATTCAGCAGGTTGTTGATGGAGCCATAGTGCGCGACTATGGCAATGTTGCCCTCAGGCCGCGTCAGCAGCCAGTGTCGGAAAGGCGAAAGCCTGGCAGCATTTCTTCAGTGCGACCCTCACCCATCCTCGGCCCCTGCGTCTCTTTCTATACAGACATGGGGGTTCCCGAAATTCGGGGTACCTTATTATCAGGGAATCCTACTATTTAGGGTCCTATATCACGGATTCCCTTATTTTCCTCTAAGCCCCCCAACTGAGACCCACAAGCTACGCGAAATTCGCTTGCCTCCGCGGGTTCCCACAATGCTGATGCCAGCCATCCCCGCGCGCCAAGCGCTCATCCCACTCCGCGCGCCACTCCGACGCCGCAGCTGCGGCCAGCGCCTAGCGGACTAATTACTTTTTGCTTGCTACTATTTTTTTGTTCGGATGACTATTGTTCTTGCTACTGTTGCTATTATTAGTCTTCTTCTGCTTATTTTTATTGTTATTATTCTTATCATTATCATTATTGCTATTATTATTATCATTGTCATTAATGTTATTATTATTATTACTACTACTGCGGTTGACGAGACCCCTGGGCGTGAATCTTGTTGGCAGACACCCTGCGCTCTCACGCCTGAGTCCTGGCACTTTTTTCCCAGCCTTCTCGACGGCCGGCCACGCGGCAAGGGCCGAAAGTGTTGGGCATTGCTGCAGGTCAGTTATTGCACGGCCCTGATTCTCATTGTTGTCAGGGTAGAACTCTCGCAGCTCCGGTCCTGAGCCAAACCAAATTCGAACAAAGCTGCAATGGCAACGTTGCATATGTGGATGTGAAGCGATGCAAGGAGTCCGGAATGTCCCTGAAAAAGTTTGGAACCGAGCGTGAGGTTCTCAGAAGAGAGGGCAGCGAGCAAAAACAGGCAGCCTTGAACAGCCCCCGAGCCGAGAGAAGCCAAAACGAGCCCCAAAGCCTCGAGGGAGGGGGGTTCGGAGAAGCCCGAAAAGTTTTCAAAAGGATTGGAACAGGTTTGAAAGCGTGAATGTGGTAAGCCCATGTAAGCCCGAAACCATTCCCCCGATCCGAGATGTGCTTTCTCTGTCGTGGCATGCCTCGCTTTCTCTCTCTGAAAAAGCGTACGACATGCATCTGAGCGGCGAATGAGCAGCTCGCAACCCTTTGTCAGCTCCTCTCAGCAACAGGGGCAGGGCAGGTTGATTCAAAGAACGGCTCGCCGACCCACCGTCCTCAGCAAACAGTATTGCTGCCGTCTGGATAGCTCGCGTCATCGGGGAGCAAATAATGAGGTCCGGTTTGGCTGTCCACTCGCTGATCTGCAGGGAGCGTGGAGACTTGCGCGCGTTCGCGACATAAGGTTGGAAACATTAAGCTAAAGAACTATTCGACGGAATCAATTGGAAAGGATGACTAGACAGACTGCAAAGTGTGACAGTTTTTCCGTGCGTCACACCTGTCTCCGGGCAGCTACCGCTTGCTCGACACCGTCTTCTGTCAACTGCGCGTCGACGTAATCCTGGCCCGTCATATAGGCATGGAGGTGTTCTTGGCCTCCTCGTGCAAAGCATGGCAGAACAGCTAGGTCTGGGTGGGATGGAAGCTCCAGCTCAATCTCAGGAAGGCCCGAGAGATCGTACAAACGCCAGGGCTCGAAGTGCGAAGCTTTACTGGGGATCACAACAAGGAGAGGAGCCCCTGCGAACTCTCAATCCAAAAGCCTGGGGCGGACGGAGAGGGGTAAACCCTAAACCCTAAACCCTAAACCCTAAACCCTAAACCCTAAACCCTCCAAGATTCTCCAAGTCTCCTCCTGCCACTTTGTCCGCTTCCATTGCTCTGAGCCGAGCCTGAAAAAAAAGAAGAGAGCCACAAGAGTTCAGCGATGGACACCGGCAGCCATAAACGCGTAATGAGCTACTAACAGCCCTTAATAGGGTTTCTAATACCCCCATATGAGAAGAGAGCTATATACCCACGATAGGAAGAAGCGGTGGCTAAGTCGAAGTTGTTCTCGGCCCAGCCACAGCGTTCCCGGTGCTCTGCCCGTGCCGGAAGAGCCAGACCAGTTTGGCTCCTTCCGGACGCTCCTCTGCCAACTTGTCTCCTTACGTTGGGATATTCCCAATTCTACTAACAGCTCCTTTCTAGGGATTACAGTACCCAAATATTCGCCTCGGCTTCCTGCCGAGAAGCGTCTGGAACAAGCAGACCCGGATCGGGCATCCCGATGCAAAATTTTCTGATGCCCCCCCCCCCCCCCCGCCCTGTGGGACCCCCCCCAATCGCTTGGAGGAGCTGCAATCCCGTCCTGTCCTGGGGCCCGGCTGCCGAGGCGGCGCGCGCAAGCGTTTACAATAATCCCTGCTAGCAGAAAGGGGAACATCCTAATACATCCCGACCCTTACGTCTTGAATGGGATTTACGATATTAGGGGGTACCTTATTGGTGTCCGTATTCTAAATGGACCAAACCCTAAACTCTAAACCTAAACCCTAAAACCCTAAGCCCTAAACCCCAAACTAAACCCTAAACCCTAAAACCCCATACCCTAAACCCTAAACCCCAAGCACATACTTTGTGGGAACAATCTGGGTCCCCAGGCCGAGGTTGCAGGTCGCCCCGGCCGCCACGTCTTGCGGCAGCCGAAACAGAGCCAGCGGGGTCCTGTTTAGGGTTTAGGGTTTAGGGTTTGGGGTTTAGGGTTTAGGGTTTAGGGTTTAGGGTTTAGGGTTTAGGGTTTAGGGTTTAGGGCTTAGGGTTTAGGATTTAGGGTTTAGGGTTTAGGGTTTAGGGTTTACCAGCTGACAGTCATTCAGCCTCCCAGAAAGTCCATAGAACTGGAAATAACAAAGCAGAAACAAAGAGAAAGAGCGAGAGAGGGAGGGAGGGAGCCGGAGTGGGAGTCAGAGTCAGCGTCAGAGCGAAAGCGACAGAGACAAAGACAGTGAGAGTGAGAGCGAAAGCGAGAGCGAGAGTGAGAGTGAGAGTGAAACAGGAAGGTCCAGAGCGCCAAAACTGTCCTGTCGAGGTCGGCCAGCATTAGGAAAGGTCCAACCAAAGTGTCAAGGCCCAAATCCTCTGCACCAGAGCCGCCTGCCACTGCGAAGATGCCTGCCGCCCCTTGCCCAAGCCAGCGGCAAACCAAGGTTTAGGGTTTAGGGTTCAGGGTTCAGGGTTCAGGGTTCAGGGTTCAGGGTTCAGGGTTCAGGGTTTAGGGTTTAGGGTCGAGGGTTCAGGGTTTAGGTTTTAGGGTGCCAGATTGCAAGAGAAGTGTGTGTCCGAAGTGGTTGTGCACCACAGCATGTCGCACACAAGATGCAACTTTGAACCAGAACATTGCGGCGACGGTACAGGTCTCACAAATGGTGATTTTGCACTTGCGCCGACTTTCACGATACATGTGACCTCTGCATTCTCTTCCTGCGCGTTAGGGCCGGTGCTTAAAGAACCCTCAACACCTCACAACTCACATATGCAGTCCTCGCGCAGCTTCTTCTCGGCCTTGCAAAAGGTGGCAAGAGAGGGCCATGCATCAGTTGTCAAACTTGGCAAATCAGGGTATCGCCCAGCAACTCCAGCCTCTGCAAGCTTCAACTTCCACTCCTGCGTCATGGCATCTCATGCTGCACAAAGCTCATACCCAGAAATCCGTAGAACACGACCAGCAGCACAACAGAGGTCAACAGAGTCAAGAGCAACGAGACTCAAAGCAGCAGGGAGAATGGAGCAGGAAGCGCACAAACCTTCAGAGCTACAATTGGCTACAATCAGAAAGCATCAGAAATTGCGATGCGGCACATGTGATCTCCCGCAAGCCTCCTTCATTCTTGCAGCGAGCTCGTGCACAGCCTTCATTACAAAGCTGACAACTGCAACGATGACCCTGCAACTCTGAGACTACAGTAATAGTATTGCTGGGAAGTCTGCGTGTCGTGAGGGATGTGGGCAAGTGAGCAAGCACTGTAGGGTTGCTGCAAACTGTCGCCAGGCTCCCAAAACAACCTCATGCTGTGGATCATAAGCGTAGGCATGCGCGAGAAACACGCTCCATCCAAGTGGCGCATAGAACATCGAGATGTAAATCTGGGAGTCCGACGTACAAGGCAGCCATCGTATCGCGCTCTTTGATGGATTCGTTGCATCTCCTCAAAACAGGCGTCCATCAAGAGCTTTGAGGACTGCGAACAAGGACTTGGAAGCTATCCTCATTTCTCCACAACAAAAACAGGCCGCACAACCGCAGTCATGATACAGGGGGTTTAGGGTTAGGGTTTAGGGTTTAGGGTTTAGGGTTTAGGGTTTAGGGTTTAGGGTTTAGGGTTTGGGGTTTGGGGTTTAGGGAATCGGGTTTAGGGTTTAGGGTTTAGGGTTTAGGGTTCAGGGCTGCCCGTATGTGCTTGTAGGATCATCGCCCAAACTTTCCCTTCGGCCTCATCAAGTGCTCGAACCTCTGCTCCATGGCCGCTTCTTGCAGTGCCACGCGCCGCGCTGCCTCCTGACAAGCCACATGGCTCGGAGCTGAGAACAACTGGATTAATTTAACCTGATTTAACCCTACTTAACCCTATTTAACCTTATTTAACCTTTTTTAACCTTATTTAACCTTATTTAACCTTATCTAACCTTATTTAACCTTATCTAACATTATTTAACCTTATTTAACCTTATTTAGCCTTATTTGACCTTAATTTAGCCCGATCAAGATCGTGCTCGCACGAGCATCGACTCGCGCACCTCATCGCTCAGCATCCTGCGACGCTCGATGTGGGAACCAGCAGAATGCACTGGGCTGACCTGGCAAGCGACTCGGCATCTTAGGGTTTAGGGTTTAGGGTTTAGGGTTTAGGGTTTAGGCTTTAGGCTTTAGGGTTTAGGGTTTAGGGTTTAGGGTTTAGGGTTTAGGGTTTAGGGTTTAGGGTTTAGGGTTTAGGGTTTAGGGACTCGGCATCTGGCTACCAAGTCCCCGGAAGGCGCGGCAATAAAAGGTAAGAACACGCCCATCCATGCCGTGAGACATCGCGCCTCTGCGCTGAAGCTCACTCGATTGGAGCAGCGGCTTTGCGGTGACCGCCCCTCCTTCGTTAACATCAGCTGCAGACTCTTGTTTGCAAAACACCTAAGCATTCCTGGGCTATAGTTGCGCACCCCATTCACTTTAAGCATGTGGAGGCAGCGACTGAGCCACCAGCAGAATCCAAGTACATGGCTCGGACCTCACATTGCAAGGCACACAGCTTCGCAACCAAGCACCTGCTGTGCATTGCGGACCTGACTCTGGCGAAGTTTCGCTGGAGGTTTTGGAGCTGACTGCCGGGATACTGCAATACAGTACGAGAGTAACAAAGTGCTTGGCTTCCTTGAAGGGGAGTTTTTTGTAATTTCCGGTGGCACGCCGCGAGACATCGTGCGGGAAATCTCGCACTTTAGCAGGGTCCAGTCCTTCCTCCAAAAACGACTTACAGTACTGCAGGTCATCCGAGAAATTGAGGCAACTGGGTGCTCGACGACGGCATCAGCCTTGCTTCAGTCAGAGATGTTGCTGTATCTTCTTGCTATGAACGGGACCGGATCATTAACAGCACAATGGCTTCACTTGCGCTGCAATGCGCTGCAACTAGGCAAAGGCATCTGCATGCATCCCGCCGAATCACAGGCCAACTCCCAACAAAAAACTTTCGGCATCGGCCGTGTCCACAGTACAGCCGTCCCATGATGCAGCCTCTAAACAACCTGAGCATGGGACGAGACACAGGCTCTCTCTAACATCCAGGCTGTAGCTCTGGTCGCCATCATAGTATCTGTAGATCTCATAGAGCTGTGCCTGGGAGAGCTGCGGGCGGCGAGCGGTTGCGCAACGTTCGAAATGCAAATGTGGGCCACCTCTTTCGGCTCCATCAAGTCGTACTTGCGGAACACCTACCGAAAGAGAAGGTTTAGGGTTTAGGGTTTAGGGTTTAGGGTTTAGGGTTTAGGGTTTAGGGTTTAGGGTTTAGGGTTTAGGGTTTAGGGTTTTTTTTGTTTAGGGCTTAGGGTTTAGGGTTTAGGGCTTAGGGCTTAGGGCTTAGGGCTTAAGGTTAGAGTTTGGGGGTTCAACCTTGCTCGCATAGGCCTATGCGGTAAACGCTCAAAACTCCAGCCCCCATGAACCCTAAACCACGTGGTAGACACCCGGACATGCAGGGATGCTCGAACCCTAAACCCTAAACCCTAAACCATAGACCCTAAGCCCCACTGGGAAAGCCCCACCCTGCAGCCAATCTGAGATTTGTTTGTTCGATGTGGGCAAACCTTCGCGATGAATTTCGGGATCTCTCGCTCGTTCCAGGTCAGCTGGCCATTCCTGGCAGAACACTTTTATTTATGAGGAACATATATATATATTAATTATTTATATTTTTGTATTTATTTATCTATTTATATTTCTATATTTCTATATTTTTATATTTCTATATGTCTATATTTCTATATTTCTATATTTCTATATTTCTATATTTCTATATTTCTATATTTCTATATTTCTATATTTCTATATTTCTATATTTCTATATTTCTATATTTCTATATTTCTATATTTCTATATTTATATTTCTATATTTCTATATTCTATATATTTATATATTTATATATATTTATATATTTATATATTTATATATTTATATATTTATATATTTATATTTATATATTTATGATTAATATATATTTGCATATATATATATATATATATCTATTTATTTATTTATATTTATTTGTTTATTTGTTTAATTAGTGATGTGTTCATTTATTTCTGTGTGTGTTTATATTTCTTCATTCATTTACATTTATCTTTGCATTTATGTTTCTTTCTTTCTAATGTTCATTTTGTTTTTGTTATTTTAAGATCTTGTAAAGATCGTCGAAGCCCAGCATGTCAAAGCCTTGTCAAAACGACCTGGCCTATCGGTATCGCACTCCTTGAAAAGTCGAAGCGCCTCCTGAGGCAGAGAAAAGCCAAAAAAAAAGAATAAACAAAATATTAAAATAACAAAATAATAATAATGACAAAAAGACGCGCGCAAGCCTGAACTTTGAAGATCGGCCTGGACATGACACATGCAACGCGTGATTGCACTTGGCCTTGCCTTCAGAAACTCGCCGCTCTCGATGGCCCCAATCATCCTGCAACACACGTTCTGTCAACGAACTAAAGAACGACCCAGTTCACCACGCACTGAGGGAAATGCCGGGAAAGCCTACCACGACCGCTGCGTTTACTGAAGCACGACCCTAACTCATGAACAAGAGTCTGCATGTCCGTTTGGGAAAACCAATTAACTACTCTCTGCACGTGCTTCACGCAGATGCAAAAAAAAAACAAAAAGCCTTCTTGACACCCAACTCAATTGGCAAAACTTCGGAAAACCACCGTCCCGCACGATGAGCGGAAGCACTCAGGCTTGCACTTTAGTCATCGCATGATTGTCATTCCCAACCCTAAATGTCTTGGCATTCTACTTTCGAAAACCTTTCATTTCAGCCTTTGGAGCTGGAGTCTTCACGTTGCACAAACCATGGTCTTGTCTCGTGATGCTTTGTAGCGCATGCCACTTGATAAGCGTAAGAGATGTGCCGGCTTCAAGGGCAGATCTTTCATGCCGTAGCCATATATAGCTTTTCTTGTCGCAGATTTTGATGTCGAGTATTCGCCGTTACTTGTGGAGACAGCTCTGGTGCGATTCTCCAGCCCCCGACTGAATATGGTCTTCTCCCTCTGCGCTTTTTTGGCTGGATGTGCCAAGCCTCATGGCTTCATGGCGTCCCAACCCGTGTCTTGACGGCCGTGTTTCAAGCTGCAAAAACACAGAACACCCGTGGGGGGCAGGATGGGCATGCTCAAGCAATGTCAGGACCGCGTGGCAAGCCCCGTCATGCCCCGTCCTTGCTTTGTGCCTAGCGTTGTGCGGCACGACGGATCGCAAGTGGACTGCCAGCTGACTGAGATCGACAGGCCTCAGACGACTTGATGCCTAACTACACTGAAACCGAGGCTGCTGACGCTTATATAACCTTGCTTGCTGCTGCCTAGAAAGATGTGGACTTCTAGCACGCAAGGGCACGTTAATTTATTTTGAGCGTCGGCAGGCAATCAGACCGTTCAGGTTCATTGCCGACAAGGTCTCCGCACATCCTGATCTGCATTCCAGCTGCACTCGCTGCACACGACTGGGCACTTTGAAAACGTTCTATTCTCCACGTCTCACGGAAACGTGAAGTGCATCTTCTCCTCCACCTCCAAGAGTCTCTGTTCGGCTTCTTGCAGTGGATTCTCGTACATGTCTCGCTGACTGCTGTACTTGTCCCTCTCAGACAAGATCCACTCTTTGTACTTTTGAAGATACTCCTTGCGCCTTTCCAGCTGGGCCATACGAGCAGACCCGCCCACTTCCGCAACGAGGGCAACCATACCGCTGGGGCCGACCCAGACCTGCCCAAACCTAGTTCATGGTTGGGATAGTACTAAAAAATTACATTAAAATTCCTTATTGGATTTAAGTACCCTTACAAAAGTAAAATCTTACCCAACTATGACAAAGAAACTGGCTGTTTGCGGCCATTTTGAGAAACTCCAGGGGTTTCCAAGAGCACACGGAAGCATCCTCCCGTGTGCAGCTCAGGATAACGGCCAGATCCATGAGGCCCCAGACAAAGTTCTTGGCAATAAGCATGAAATTGCCACCGAGGCTGACCACATCCAGCTTGAAGGAGTCGAAATACCTAGTTCATTGTTGGGATAATATTCAAAATGTTAAGTCCATATTCCTTATTGGGTTCAAGTACCCTTAAAAATGTAAAATGTTACTCAATGTTACCCAACTATGACAAAGATGCAGGCGCCAGAGCATGAAGGGAAGCTGGAGCAGCAACAGGGAGCGCAAGGCATCCGCCACTTTGGCGCGGTGGTTAAAGCGTTCGTACCGATTGCCTTTGCTAAGCTCACTACAGTCCAGCCACCCTGAACACTCAGCAGACACTTTCACATCCGCAGCCTCCTCAATGCCCTGAAGGTCTACCATGTAGTCCAGCAGCGGGCCCAAGCGATCTGCTGACACCACTTCGGGCTTGCTGCCGTCGGCATAAGTGACAAGGTAGCTTCCCGGGCCCTTCGCAAGAGCTCTGCCCTCCTGTTCCAGCTGAACCCCGGAGCCACAATGGGTGAAGCATCCCTTCTCGTCTCCGGACTCTTGGTCCGTCAATCTCACCCGGACGGGGAATCCCTGTGCCCCCCTGTCTTTCTGCTCTCCCGCCTCCATCATGGCGGACTCTGTGGGCAGCGCCTGTTCCTGCTCATCCTCGTCCAAAGTCGGCACTAGGGCGGTGTAGATCATCCGTGACAGCACTACGGCTAAGGATGCTGTCAACCAGGTGATGTACAAGCTAGCCAAAGGCCACAGGTTTCGCATCTGTGGTCGCCCGGCCGGAGTGAAGCCGTAGGCCGGGTATCGGACGTCCGCACTTGTCAGGAACTCACTGAAAACGACGGAATCCAGGACATCCAGCCACGCGCCCTGAGTAAAGCGTCGCTCGCCAATGTTTCCAGCCAGAAAACCGTGCCGCAAGGTCCAGCCCATCAGCAGAACCACCATCCACTTGATCACCATGAAGATCGTGGACACATCACAAGGTTGTCCGAACAACTTTATCTGCGGCGTGGCCATTGCGATAGTCTCCGAGATGCAGCACTGGACATTTCCGACGAGCAGAGTCGACACACAATCTCCATTCGCATACTTTGTGCCAGGGGTATATGGTAGGGCGCAGGTGCCTTGAACGTCGAAGTCGCACTCTTTGTAGTTCCAATCATGCTCAACCAAGCACTTTGTCAGCTCGGTGCCCCCAGCGGCTTTTGAGATGAAAGTGGGGACTTCCTTAATGTCGAGGTTGACTTTGTGCGTTCGCGTCAACTTGCTGGCAGCATCCATCTCGACATAATAAGCCGACAAGTAGAACAACCATTGCATGGTGCCGCAAAGGGTGTACAAGAAGGTGACCATACGCCCACTCCGTCGTCGCAGTATGTGCTTCTCAGACCAGACGAGGCAGAAGAGTCGGCCAAGGACGGTCACTGCAAAAACAATCCACACCGAATTGCCGAAGTTTCTCTCTTGTGCAAAGACGAAAATCTTGTCCAGTGGTGACTCGTGCGTTTCGTTTTCTGACATCCAGCGGGTCATTAGAACACAGAACACGCACTCAACGATCACACCCACCACGAATGGTGAGCGAGTCGCATGGATGCGATGGGTTACATCTATCACCACCTCCTCGCTGGATCCATCGTCGCTCGAGTTTGCATCGCCTGCCCTTGAGACCGTGCGCGACATGGCTTCGCGTCACAGTCCTAGGAATCTGAAGGGTCCGGCGTTGCCCCGGATTTTCAGGAAGGCTTTCTCCTCAAGGGATTATTATGGGCTTCTTAAGCCTAGGGAAACTTAGGGAAGCTTGGGGAGCCTTAGGGCGTAGTGGGGAGTATAAGGGAACCTTGGGCTACAAACCCCCTTGAACCCCCCTAGTTCCGGGCAACTCCCTGGTTGAGAAGAATGAGCATGTCGGCAACAGGTGAGCACGCCTTCTACCGAAAAAACTGTGCCACGTGCTGGCTGGTCATGCACATCACTCCCTAGGCTCAGGCGAGCGATCGAGCGGATAGTGGACCTGAGTTCAGCGTGGAACGGGCTTTGAATGCTCCAACTCAACAAGCCAAGAACGTTACTGTTTGTCCATCCAGGACAGCAGGTGGGCGGTAATCTGCCAGCCACTGCTCTGCCAGACTGTACCTGATCCAAAAAAGAAATCGAGCAGCTCCTCACATGACAAACAGTGTTTAGGGTTTAGGGTTTAGGGTTTAGGGTTTAGGGTTCAGGGTTCAGGGTTTAGGGTTTAGGGTTTAGGGTTTAGGTTTTTTTTTTTTTAAGGGTTTAGGGTTTAGGGTTTAGGAACTGATCATGCTTTTGCAGCATGTGCTCTGGAGCCAGGCTGCGCTGGAACGGTCAGTGTACCCATGGCCCGGGCCTGCCAAAAGTGCTTCAGAAGCCCGATTAGATCTCTCTTCCAGAACTACGTATCGACGTAGACAAGGAGATACAAGAAGAATTGAGTGAGGCATGAGAGAAGGGTTTAGGGTTTAGGGCTTAGGGCTTAGGGCTTAGGGCTTAGGGCTTAGGGCTTAGGGCTTAGGGCTTAGGGCTTAGGGCTTAGGGCTTAGGGCTTAGGGCTTACGGCTTAGGGTTCTGCTCCCTTGGCACAGTGCCGGGCTTCGCCTGCATGCTGCGAGGCTGCGCCAGGATGATCGCGCCTGACTGCTTTAACAGACCGACCAAGGAGATGTGTGGGCATCTGTGCAAGTTCCGAGGACTCCTGTGGCTAGCCGGGGGCCCTGGCGGGCCAAGGCATCCACCATGCACACGCACTCCCGAGGCTCCAAACCTCAAGGCGAGTAGCTGGACAACAGACAACATGCCACCTCCCCTTTTTATTGCCTTGCTTCCTCCTTTATAGTAGAGGGAGGGCAGGGCACGGGGCAGGAGATCCTTCATGGCGAGCTTTACAAGGCCTAAAAATGCACGGGGGCGGGGGGGGGGGCGAAGAGGCTGGAGTTGGGTGTGGGGCATTGGGGGTCTGGTAAGGATGCGTATGTTTTCTGAAGCAGCTCCTTTTGATGGCAGGAGGTCCTTCGTAGCAAGCTTTGCAAGGCTTCAGGGGCAAACACACCTCGCTTATGACGGGCTTGAAGAGGATGCAATGGTTTAGTTTAGGGTTTAGGTTTCAGGAGAGAGAGAGAGAGAGAGAGAGTTCACAGGCGCACCTGCACTTTTGCTTTCGTCCCTCGAATCTATTTGTTCATTACACTAATGGGGCCTCATTTTGTTCAGCAACCTTTCCCCCCCCCCCCCCATTTCTCTTCTTTGGGGTGTGGGGGGGGGGGGGGGGGGGGGGGGGGGGGGTTTCCCCCCCCCCCCCCATTTCTCTTCTTTGGGGGGGGGGGGGGGGGGGGGGGGGGGGGGGGGGGGGGGGGGGGGGGGGGGGGGGGGGGGGGGGGGGGGGGGGGGGGGGGGGGGGGGGGGGGGGAGAGGGCCAGGAAAGAAAGACAGAAAGACGGCAGACCGAAAGAGGAGCCAAAGACATGAAGACATAATGGAGTCAAGACGTAGCTAAGTAAAGAACGAACGAAAGCAAGGCAGACATGAATAACGAAAGAAAGAAAGATCGGAAGACAACAAGACAGTAAGGCAGCAGGACAGCAAGAAATAACTGCATTGACAACTGCAAATTCCACAAAACCCTAAACCCTAAACCCTAAACCCTCTGAGGAAGTCGCGCCCGTTGCCATCGAGGTCAAAAGCTGCAAACCTTTGAGCGAGGCGAAGAGGAACTCATGCGAACTCCGGGGAAGTTAGGCCAGCATTGGGATAAGACTACAGGGGGGGGGGAGGTTCCGAAAATGGGGGGTACCCTTTTTGGGGGGGTTTCTTTAAAGGGATCCTATAGTATCGTGGGGTATGTAAGGGCTACCCCACTGTCGGAAGTCCCCACAGGTCGGGCAGAAAGTCATGGCACGACGTCCAGCACCTACTGTGGAATGCCAGGCAACAGTGAGCGGATCTGCTCCTGCAGGATGAAGGCAAGTGAGGGTTTCCGAAATTGGGGAGTACCTTCTTGGGGGTCCTTATCGGAAGTGAATCCTACTATTGGGGGGTCTATATTTGGGGGGTCCCTGATTTTCGTAAACAGCCAAGTGAGTTCCGGCGGCTTTGGCGTGACAGTCAAGGGGACCACGCTGAGTGCAACGATGCCTGTCTCGGAGGCACCAAGCCCTGCTTCATGAAGACCTGAAGCCGAGAATTTCTCCAGCTCTGAAGGGTTTAGGGCTCAGGGTTTAGGGTTTAGGGTTTAGGGTTTAAGGTTTAAGGGGGCTGCGTTAAGCGCATGAGTTCTGCTAAGTCCTTCCCCAGCTGAGGGACTCACCCTCGAAATGAAGCTCTGGATTTCTCCAGCTTCCCAGGACAGATAGCCCCTCCTTTCAAGGGTGCTCATGCCAGAGCGTCACACCCCTAAACCCTAAACCCTAAACCCTAAACCCTAAACCCTACACCAAATGCAAGGTCATGTCAGCCACCTTTCTCGATCGCACGCGCGGAAGAGCTCCAGGGCTTCCTGCTTTGTGGCCATGTGCTTAGGGTTTAGGGTTTAGGGTTTAGGGTTTAGGGTTTAGGGTTTAGGGTTTAGGGTTTAGGGTTTAGGGTTTAGGGTTTAGGGTTTAGGGTTTAGGGCCGTCTCACTACATGCATGCACGCATGCACGTGTGTGTGTCTGCATCGGCCTTTGCGCACCTTGGACACTTTTTTTTTGTGATGGTGTGGGGAAAACCCTAAACCCCTAATCCTAGACCCAAAACCCCTAATCCTAGACCCTAAACCCTAAACCCTAAACCCTAAACCCTAAACCCTAAACCCTAAACCCTAAACCCTAAACCCTAAACAAACCCTCAACCCCAGACCCTACTCTCGGATTTCCAAGTTCCGGGCCCAACCCCCACGTACCTTCCCAAGTTCAGGGCCTCTCTCGCTCTCCGTCTCTTCTTCTTGTCCTTCTTCTGTTGTTTTTTTTATTCTTATCTCATTGTTATGCTTCTTTTTTCCGAAGCCATACCGTGACTCGACTGTCTCATTGTGATTATTCTGCTTCTTCGTGTTATTTTTCTTCTCATTATTGTTACTTTCTTAGTCTTCTTATTCCCATTGTTATTCTTATATTCTGCCTCTTATTTTTCTTCTTATTCTTCTTCTTCTTCTTCTTCTTCTTCTTCTTCTTCTTCTTCTTCTTCTTCTTCTTCTTCTTCTTCTTCTTCTTCTTCTTCTTCTTCTTCTTCTTCTTCTTCTTCTTCTTCTTCCTCTTCTTATTCTTCTTCTTCTTCTTCTTCTTCTTCTTCTTCTTCTTCTTCTTCTTCTTCTTCTTCTTCTTCTTCTTCTTCTTCTTCTTCTTCTTCTTCTTCTTCTTCTTCTTCTTCTTCTTCTTCTTCTTCTTCTTCTTATTCTTATTCTTCTTCGTTTTCTTTCTGTTCTTCTTATTTCTCTTCTTCTTCTTCTTCTTCTTCTTCTTCTTCTTCTTCTTCTTCTTCTTCTTCTTCTTCTTCTTCTTCTTCTTCTTCTTCTTCTTCTTCTTCTTCTTCTTCTTCTTCTTCTTCTTCTTCTTCTTCTTCTTCTTCTTCTTCTTCTTCGGTCGTCTCCTGTTCTCTAGAGGTCCCTCCTATATGGGACCCTAATGCAGAGAACTTCCCTAAGCTCTCTTTAGCCCAAGACCCTAAGCACTGCACCTTGAGGAGGGACAGGTTCTCCAGCGAAGCCTTAATCCTGCGGAACTCCCACGGTAGCAACTCACGGCTTTCAGCGCCTTTTTTTCGGGTTTTTGAGCCCGAAAGCTCCAAAAACACTCGGAATGATCACCCCAACGCCCTACGGCAGCCCACAGTTTCCCCAAGACTCTCCCAAGACTTGAAGCCAGAGCCCTCGGGTCCTGGAGATGTTCGGCGCATTGGCCTCCGCCGTGTCGTGGAAGTTGCTAGTGAAGTCGGCGATGTCCACCGGCCTCAAGGAGATTACGTCATCCCTTTTATGTGTGTGTGGTGTTGCGTGTGTGTGGTTGATTGGCTGGCTGGCTGGAGAGCTGGAGAGCTGGCTGGAGAGCTGGCTGGAGAGGGCGGGTGGGTTGGTTGGTTGCTTCTTCCCCGCCCTCAATGTGGCGTTGTAAGAGTCCTCCTCGCCAGCAGTGTTCCGCTCGTCTCCTGTCCTGTGCGCTGAGTGCTCCTGGCCTGCGCCCACCCCGCGCCCGGAAAAGCCACTACAGAAGCCGGCGGAGAGGTAGGCCGAGCATCCTGGAAAGAGAGAAGTCCGAGTGGCGCCGAGCATCCCGGGAGCACCGCAGAGAATCTCGCCAAGCATCACCGAGAGAATCCCGCAGGAGAGCTTGCCGAGTATCCGCGGAGTGCCCCTGCAAATCCCCCAAAGAGTCGCGCCGACTCTCCTTGGGTGCTCTCCGCATAAGCCCGAACATCCTGCCGAGTATCCTGGCCGTGCCCACCGCCCAGAATTCTGGGACCTTTCCGAAAACGGCAGGAGTAAGGGGGAGGAAGAGAGAGCGGGAGGAAGAGAGAGCGGGAGGAAAAGAGAGGGGGGGGGGAAAGAGCGGGGGGCAAAGAGGGGGGGAAGAGAGGGGGGGAAGAGGGGGAGAGGGGGAGAGGGGGAGAGGGGGAGAACCTTGGGATGGCGTGCCCACTTTTTGGACCTGGTCTCACAGCTCCCGGCTTCCTTCTGGGCGTGTAGGCCATGGTCGTTTGCGTCAGAGGCTGAACCTCGAGCTCTCACTGGAACACTGCTTGAGGTCAACAGGCTAAATCGCTTCATTCCTTGCGGCCTCTTGCGTGGTCAGGACTCAGGCAGGCGCGCTGTATCCCTCAATCCACTCTTGAGCCAAGCGATACCTGGTTGAGATCACTGTTGCGCTGCTCCACTTTGCTGTGGGAAGGAAGGCGCGCCCTCTGGTAGCGGAGGACGGCATGACCGGTGCCTGGCAGAGGCCACTGTTACAGTGCAAGGGCCGTTTTGCAGTGGAATTCGGATCATTTTGTCAGGTTGCATCCACTACAGCAGGCCGTCATGCAAGCATTAGCCTCCATGCAAAGCCAACAGAGGCTGAGGTCGGCACGCCACTTGGCACTGGAAGAGCCTGGAGGAAGGGAGAAAGCCCCTGTGACTTTAGGGTTTAGGGTTCAGGGTTTAGGGCAGGATGTCCGGAATCCGGCTGTCGTCGGAAAAGCATCTTTGCACAATGCTCGCTGCACTGCTGTTGCGAAAGCTGGCTTTGCCAGCCACTGCTCGGTGAGATCTCTAAATCAAGATCTGTTCGGATCCCTCTTGCACGTTCACTTCCTGATTAGGACAAGGACCTGTCAGGCCCTATCAGCCACGCAGCGAAAACCGATTGTGCCCGCTCGGTCTAGCGAGGGCGCCATGAGAAGGTACTTTGCATGAACGGTGTTCTTAAACAGGCTGCTGTAGTCCTGAAAGTCAAAAGCATGAGGTGTGACGGTTCAGCCGCCCAAGAAACCTTCACACTTCACACCAAACAAGCAGGACTCCTTCGGACCAAAGTAGTGGTCACCAGTCCACTGTGCATCCCATGCTCCTGTGGGAATGAAGTTCAAGCGATGCTGCATCATCTGATGAGACGCTTGGTTTGCGCGAGATGGCTATGGCTGGTGCATGACTTGCCGGGGTCATGGTTTAGGGTTTAGGGTTTAGGGTTTAGGGGTTTAGGGTTTAGGGTTTAGGGTTTAGGGTTTAGGGTTTAGGGTTTAGGGTTTAGGGTTTAGGGTTTAGGGATGTCCTGCCGGAGCGCGACCTGGAAAATACCAAGGCTGGTAGCGCGGATCAGGGACACCAGCGGCATCATGCGCATTGGGCCGGAAGACGGAGCCACCTCAATACAGGTCAGCACCACAGGGTGCTTTGTCTAAGCTTTGCTGCTGGTGAAGATGCGATCGCGCAAGAGTTGCACAACTGCAACCATGATTCCCCTCAGGATGGCAGCGCGATTGTGCTCGTCTTGGTACTCGTCGGTCCACTGCCAAACAAGACCCACCAAATCTTCCACGCCAGCTGGACTGGAGCCATTCGGAAATCGTCCGACTTCACCTTGGCTCAGCCCGCGTGACATGCAGCCAAGTCCCAAAAGCAATACAGCCACCAAGTCGATCAGCATTTCTTGCTGCCCAAGCTCCCATGCCAAAGACGCTTGCATTCTCTTGTGGTGCTGGAGCAGCATCCTTCCACCACCACTGGCCCCAGGGATACGTACGGTCAGGATCTCCGGCCTCACCCAGCGTTTCTTTGCTTCTTGCTCTCGGAAAGACAAGGGGCCTTTGCGAAAAGAAGGGAGCCCCAAATAGGACCCCCAAGCAATATCCCCATCATAAGGACCCCCAGGACGGTATCTGAACCTCGGAAAAGCCCTATCTCCATGTCAGAATGTGGAAAGCCTAACATGGAAGTGGAAGCCTGCGCCACATATTGCCATTCCCACTCTCTCGGAAGCCGCTTTCCGTAGAAGTGGCCTGGCTGTGAGGTGCAGAGACCCTACGGAAACTGTGAAAATACTGTGAAACCGTGCGTGCTGCAGGGGGAATAGATGCTTCGCAATGTGCAGCCATGTCACAGAACACCTCGGCATCCTGACGACTCACCTCAGATGACCCTAGGTTTAGGGTTTAGGGTTTAGGGTTTAGGGTTTAGGGTTTAGGGTTTAGGGTTTAGGGTTTAGGGTTTAGGGTTTAGGGTTTAGGGTTTAGGGTTTAGGGTTTAGGGTTTAGGGTTTAGGGTTTAGGGTTTAGGTTTAGGGTTTAGGGTTTAGGGTTTAGGGTTTAGGGTTCCACCCTTTGTGAGCCAAAGCATTCCCCGACCTGCCGCTCAACAGCCAGGCCACGAACACCACGGGCTTCTTGGCCAAGCTGGGAGGCATGGAGCCTTGGGAGCCCAGAAACTTGTATTGTAAGAAGGGCACCCCTTATTTGGGATTTAGGGTTTAGGGTTTAAGGTGTAAAGGGTTTGGGGTTTAGGGCTTAGGGTTTAGGGTTTAGGGATTGTCATAAGGGCACCCTTTTTTGGGGCGGGGGGTTGGTTACTTGTTTAGGAAACACTGAACCCAAAAATGCAAAAATGGGTGAAGGGCACCACTGGGCTGCCAGGGAGCAAGCCTGCACGGAGGTTTGACAGCCCCAGTGGCGCAAGAAGCTCCCCGAGTCGACCTGATCTCACATGGTGATCTGGGATCTTGGGATGTTCCTCGTTATACTGACAGTCCTTCATAGGGATCATCGTACCCCCTATCAGAGTCCCTATTAAGGACTTTCAAACTGGGATCTTTTCCCGTCGTCGGCGCATGCCGTCTAGTATGTGGCTGTGACACTAGACTGGGAAGAGCACTGGCGCGTACAAGGACTGCTTCAAGAACGCGGCATAGAGCTCGTTTGTGACCGGATACCTCAACAAGCACTTGACGAGTAGGATGCGGAGCACCCTGAAACCTCTGCGTAAATAGCAAGCGGAAGTACAAGTCAAGGAACTTGTCAACGTAAAGGTCAGCAATACTCATGGTGTGCGCCCTGTGGTACTTGACAGGCTCCGTCTCCCAGGGATACCTCACCAGAGCCATTGTACTTCGGGTTTAGGGTTTAGGGTTTAGGGTTTAGGGTTTAGGGTTTAGGGTTTAGGGTTTAAAGTTTAGCGTTTAGGGTTTAGGGTTTAGGGCTTAGGGCTTAGGGACATCCAACGCCAATGTGCCCACAAGCATGTCCTGCTCTTTGTTACAAACTCTCAAAGCACCGAAGCCCTACTGCACTACTTTTCTCTCGCATTCTCGGGACGATGCGTCCTTAAGGCCTAAACCCTACAAGTACAATCTACAAGTACAATCTAGGGATCTGGCAAGGGCACTGAACTCTAAACGGCACTGTTCTTGGAGACACTTGGAACATGAAACCCTATGTCTTCAGGCTTTTGAACCCAGACTCTTGTCCTCAAAGCTGGGAGAAGGGGCACGCTACTGGAATGGGAGATCCTGCTCGTCTCTTCTAGTAGCTGTCTTCAGAAAAGCCATGTTTGCAAAGATACGGTGTGCATAGAAGCTATGGGCCATGGTTTTCCTTCTGTTGGCTGGGAGTTGAGTCAGGAAGCAGCAGTCAAGCGGCGTGAGGGTTTAGGGTTTAGGGTTTAGGGTTTAGGGTTTCGGGTGTCGGGTTTAGGATTTAGGGTTTAGGGTTTAGTGTTTACTGAAGGCGAGCAGCACGTTTAGATCAAAAACTAAAAGGCCGAACATCAAGAACGGCTTGAAACTTCTCGGACAAGGCTCTGCACATCCACCGCCAACTTGACAAACTGCTTCCCGTTCTGCCGCGTGTCTTCAATTTCAGAGCCGACAATCTTAGCTGTTGTTAGTGGATGGAACAATGAGAATTTTTTTATGTACATATATATATATATACAATTGGATATTGTTGTAAATAGACCAAGGTGCTCTGAACTCGTAGGCCTTCTGTCCCCTCACAGCAACCATCCCCGTCGTGTCGCGAGGTGTTGCTTTGTGGTGCTTCATGGCGGAGGAGAGCTGAACAACGGGGGCAGCCTCGGAAACGCAGAAAGTCAAAGGCGGCTAAAGCGCGCACATAAGATCACCGCAGCCACATGAGCCTTGTCCTCAAATGTCTCCAGCCGCGTGGCCTCACACATCTGCTGATACAATAGGGCAGCCGCGGATTCGGAAACTAAAACAATCATCCAGAAAACAGAGAATGTGAGTCGGGAAGCTGGAAATTCTGAGTCGGGCAACTAGAAACTCGGATTCGGAAACCGGCCGGCAAAGGACGCACTCAGAAACCGCGGATGTTCGAAAACGAAAACTACGGATTCGGTTGTCGTGTCCTGGTTTGATTCTTCCAAAGATTGACATCCCGACCTCACCACCCCGTGAGTTTGCGGCCAAGGCGTACGTCTTCTCGAAGGCTCGCACTGACCAGGGGTACCGTAGGGAGGTCGGCAACAACTGCACTGCCAACACAAGCAAAGCATCATCCCCCAAGCCTCCTCCCCGAACTCCCCGTCCAGGGTTACTGAACTGGGCATTTGTCAGGTTCCTTGCCTGAATCGGCCAGCTTCTTCAACCGGATAATTTCCTGAACCTGAATGCGGCATTTTCCCGATTTAGGGCAGTTCCTTCAGTCACGGGAGTCCGTTTCCTGAATCGTGTGGAGCCAATTTCCTGGATCGGCCAGTTTCCTTGTAGCTTCCGGAACCACAGCTTCCGGTTTCTGAACCGCGCAGCAAGGAAAACACATGACCACATCGGCGCGAGATGTTTGTCCATGAGCCTACCAACTACTTTGCTAGATCATCTACCACTTGCTTAAGAAACCCCGCCCCCAAAAAAAATATTTTGCTTAGAAGGGTAATAATAATGGTAATAATATAGGGAGTCTTGTTTTTCCTTTTAGGGGTTCTTAAGCAAATAGTCGTCATGAGCTTAAGAACCACCCCAACAAACACATTCTTCCTTATAAGGGTAATAGTATAGGGATTACTATCTTTACTTTTAGGGGCTCTTAAGCAAATAGTAGACATGAGCCAGGGGGCGCTAATGGAGTCCATCCGACGCATGATTTCCAAGTCACCCGGCGTCAGCTGGCCGCCACCTGAATGGCGGAGCAGGAGAACAGCCCTAGCCCTAAACCCTAAACCCTAAACCCTAAACCCTAAACCCTAAGCCCTAAACCCTAAACCCTAAACCCTAAACCCTAAACCCTAAACCCTAAACCCTAAACCCTAAACCCTAAACCCAACCCTTTTGCCGGAAGACTCTCTTACAACCCCAAACCCTAAACCCTAAACCCTAAACTGGTAACCGCGAGACCAGAAGATGCTTCGCAACTCACCGCCAGACTCCACATATGCCGCCTGGCCACCGACCTGTAAAATCGCGCCAATGCCCCGCCCCTCGACAGCAACCCGCAGGACAGCGGTCTTCCTCAAAAGCCAAAGGCACACTTGTCTTACCTGCTGCGTTAGAAGCTTTCGGGGCCTTCCGCTTCTGTTCTGGTGGGAGGCTAGGCAATGTGCTGGTGGGAGGCTCGACCTCAACATTCTCTCAGCTCTGTTCTTCTTCTGAGGTGTGCCTCC